ACTTCCGGGAATTTACCAGTGCGAAACGACTCATTCACCATAAATGCCACAGGGAACACTATATAACCAGAAATCTTTTTCAACGTATCCATAGATAATCCATCCCAGCTAGATGATTTCTTTGACGGGAATAACTTCAAAATTTTTTCTGGTACACTCTCTCCATATGGGCGATTTTCTCCATTTCACAGTATGCTGGTTGTGGCTCACTGATCGGCGGGGTCGACGGCAGCTCGATGCCCATCTGCTCAAGAGTGTGGTGGACCCAGTTGAGGTCACTCATGGCCCTTGAGACGATGGCGGCGATCTTTCCGAGAACGCCGGCATTTTGATTGCTGGCGCCCCATGAACGGTCTGTTGGAGGACTTGTGGACGGACTTGGAGGCCTTCTCGACTTGCACAGGGCCTGGGTGGTGTCTTGAGGGGTTTCCATGTTCCAGCGGTCGGACCACCCCACCGGGGGCGGTATGTAGGGGTTAAAAGCGGGAGTAACGATTTGAGACATTTAAACAGTTCAGAAGGGGGCGTGTTTTTATGTATGTAACGCAAACTGCGCCATACTTTATCTAAATAAATCTTAATTATATTTTGGAAATAAATTTAGAGCCTTGTACGCTTAAAAATAATTGAGCTTGAATACTTCTTAAAAAACTTAAATCATTTTAAACGAAATTATAAAACTAAGTATGAAAATTCTTAAATTGTGACATATATCTGGCCGAGCGTGCTTTTGACTGACACTCTCATGTTAGTCTTATGGCACGTCCATCAAAAGCGCGCGACGCAAGTGATATAAGAACAGATCAAACTTTGTTAAACAAGAAATGTTATTCTGTAATTTTTTAATTACAATAATTAATCATTCTAAATATAATAATGATATCGGAAAATCAAATTTTGATATATTATTTATACTGTAATCTTGGGTTTTCCCCTCAAAATTGCTTGCAAGTCGAGTTTTTATAGATTTTTAATATTACAGAGTTATTGCTTGTTATTATTTTTATCATTTTTTTTTTATGCATATTTGACGTTAATTTATATTTTCTTGTGATGATGATGTTTTACTACGATCGTTTATTGGATGATAAATAAAATTTATATTTATAATTTGAACACATGCTTATTATGAATGAAAACTTTTTACCCCAATGAGTGACGTCAGAAAGCAAAGTGACGTCACAGAGTAAAGTGACGTCACAGAGTAAAGTGACGTCACAGCAAAAAAATAATACTAGAATAATGTGACTGGTTTAATGGCCAAAAATGCTGGAATAATGGCAGAATAAGACGAATTTAATATTAGTCCGTAACGCTATCGTCATATACCTGCTAACCTTAAAGACATATTATTTTGAGCTTATAGTACTATTGGGACTAACATTACACTCACATTTTCTCCTATTATCGTGACAGTAATAATATGAGAATAATGTTAGTTTCGTCCATAAGAAATAATATGTTTATAATGTGTCGATAATATTAGAATAATGCCTTAAATTTGTCTGGGAGTTATCATTGAAGAGAGTCCGACGCACAAAAGTCCACCTTATGTTTGACTCGCGACCGCACGACTGCCGCGCCAGCGAGAGAAGGAAAAATAAATTATTCTCCCGCGGCGCAGTCAATCGATTCTGCCTGCTGCTGCTCAATCGCTCGCCACTCTCTCGCCAGCACGCACCAAGCGCGTCTCGCTCGCTGTAATAATAAAATACATACTCTCTTCTGCTGCGGCCGACGCACAAAGTCCACCTATTATATGTTCAACTCGCGACCGCACGACTCCCGCGCCAGCGAGAGAAGGAAAAATAAATTAGTCACCCGCGGCGCAGTCTAAGGAGAGTAAAATAGTTAGGAGGGGCGAAGGGGCGGGACTCTCTGGGTGACCTTGGGCCCAGTCCTATCTTTTAACATTGAGCTGGGCCATAAGCCTCTCCTATCCTATTTTACTCTCCTTAGCGCAGTCAATCGATTCTGCCCGCTGCTGCTCGCCACTCTGTCGCAAGCAGGCACCAAGCGCGCCTCGCTCGCTGTAATAATAAAATACACACTCTCTTCTGCTGCGCGCGCTAAGTCCACACAATCAACCAGCGATAAAATAAAATTTCAACGAACAGAAATAGTTCACGAGATCCACTCTCTCTCGCGCTCGCACCGCTGCCGGCCCGCGTTAAAATAAAATACACACAGCCAGCCAAAATATTACAAGTATAAAAGTTGTATGCGCGACTCTCTCGCGCTCGCACCGCTGCCGCCCCTGTGTACAATACAGTCGCGCGTGGCCCTGCCTAATATTAAATAATAGCCCTACCATAACGAAATATTCTAAGTCCAAAAGTTGTATCCAGGTGAGTATCATCTTCTGTCCACTTTCACAGACTGCTTCTCCCTTCATCGGCTATTCCTGCAGCTATTTCCGACTTCCAATTCCAGCTATCGAGGGGTTTGATGAAAAGGGGATTACTCGGCAGGAGAGCTAATTCTTTTTCATTAACCCGAACCCCCCGCGTTTTTCTATGTTTTTGCACCCACGTTCCCTTTCTTTCCCGTTCTTGAAAGAAAGCGGAAGATATATTTATCCATTAATTAGTACTGCGACTAATCGCCTTGACGTGGAATTACGTTCCGAGACAACGAGATATTTGAGACAAAGCCGGTGTAAAAAAGTTAGAAAAATTCCTGTTGTGATAATAAACAATTTAAATTGAGGGCGAAAATTTCCCAAAATTAAAATTCTTTAAAACCACCCCAATCTGTCCGTATTGTTTTGTGCTGGACAGCTGTTTCGGCTATTTAAGCCTCATCAGCAGCTCTTTGCCTAGCAAATCAAATTCCACCCGCAGCGAGCTGCGAGAAGATGTTGCTTTGCTCGGCGCACAAATAACTGCTGGCTGCTTCTCGGCAACTTGCAGAGGAACGAAAAAGAGAGAGCTCGCGGCCTTCACCAGCGAACCACCCCCTCGTCCGACGCTTTCTTCCTTTTAAACACATCGAAAATGTCTCATCTTCGCCCTCAATTAAAATTGCTTATCATCACAACAGGAATTTTTCTAACTTTTTTACACCGGCTTTGTCTCAAATATCTCGTTGTCTCGGAACGTAATTCCACGTCAAAGCGATTAGTCGCAGTACTAATTAATTATTTCCCGTTTCGAGTGGTTTCTTTATTATTATTATTATTGTTCTTTATTGCATTATGGAATGTAATCACATGTAATGTCTCCCGTGCGACCCACCCATTTACAATTTTGTCAAATGAAACACACAGCAGGGAAAAAAGAAATTTAACATATTTACAAGTTATTTTTGTAATTTACATATTCCTCCTCAGTATAGAACTTGTGAAAACTAACAAACTTTTTTAACAAGCCCACAAACTGAGGGAATCTCAACTCCAATCGAATAGATACAGGCAAATTATTATAACAAGCGCGACAAGCAAATGAGCGGATTTTGTCTCGAAATAGCACACGTCTGGACCGGCACGTACAACTCGAACTTAGATTCTCAAAAAATATATTTATCCCTTGCTTTTTCCACCACCACCTCTTCTATTGACGCTCGTTAGCCGCCTTTCATCAGCAGATTTATATATTATAGAATCTTCTTATTCCACTTCAACGTGTTCTATTTCTCATAATAAACCAGTAATCCCTGGACGAAATGCTGTTTCCATTTTTGCTTGATAGAAATTAACGTTTGTAAAATGCATATCATGTAATATATATATATTTTTTTAATTATTTTGAATTCCATTAGTTGTTAAAAATTATTGACTCAACAATCATGTTTTCAAATATCTCCCAGAAAAAGATTTACACTACTTTTGCACTACTTTTCCACTACAAATTTAACATTGCTGCTTATGGGGGATCTTTCTTGCTTCTCCTCTTCCCTCTCTCTTCCACCCTGACGGATCTGTCGGAGGCCGCTCCCCCGGCTCGCTCACTTTAGGGTCCCAAAAAAGTTTGGCCTTTACCAAACAGAGGGTGCTGATGCTGATATTGTGCTCCCTAAGCATTTATATCACAGAGTTGAATAAACAGAGTGAGCGTACTCGATTGACCTTCCATTGATTATTATAATTGCTATATTAGTAATTTTTGCTGATGACTCAATATAATAATAATAATTAGGTTTTATCAATCAACTAAATACAACATCAAGTAATTGAATGATTGAGGGAGCTCGCACGCCATTAGTTATTCGGCGGGGGTGGGCAAGCCTTTGACTAACCCTCCTCAAATACTGCAGGGGAAAACCACCCCCGAAAACCCTGCAGCTGAGTCTCAATCTTCCAAGTTTAAGCATTCAAATTTACATCTCCAATATTCATTCATATCATAGAATTGACACTTCAGCATTACATATTTGACACTTTTAACAAAGTTGCCATAGTCAGCTATTTCTTTCAATACATTGGGTAATTTGTTATATACTCGTGCTACCATTATCTCAGGACTTTCATTCACACAATTTAGTGAGCTTGGCCTTACAAATAAATCTGTTTCAACATATGCAGTAGCACGCGTAGTTCGCACTACAACACCTGGAACATCACGATTCATTTTAAACTTTTCAGGAAATTTGCGCACAAACTTAACACACTCCAAAATATATAATGAATAGACTGTAAGAACTCCAAATTTCACAAATAGTGGTCTACATGAGTCAAGTGCCGAATTACTTCTCCAATATTGAACGCCAGCCATCGCTCTTATTACTCTTTTCTGCGCAAGAAAAACATCTTTCATATGTGTAGAGCCACCCCAGATTACAATCGAGTAGAATTCGGCTAGCCGCATATGCATGATAGGCTTGGACCAAAGTCGATTCTAGAACTTTTTCTCGTAACATGATAAATAAATACGTAATACTACGCAACTTAGTAACCACTTCGCTGCACTGTTTATTCCAATTCATTGTATCTGTTAACGTTACTCCTAGAAGGCGACTACTGTTCACCACAGACAATTCCTCATCCTCAATCGATATTTCAGGCTGGATTATATTCCTCGTTTGAGCGGTGTGCATTGTCATTACCATAGTCTTATTCGGATTCAATTTCAGGTGATTATCACTCGCATATTTCACCATGTCAGAGTTTGCTTGTATTGTCTTTTCATTCACCTCAGAGGCAGTTTTACCTTTCACTATCACTATCATTTACTATCTTCATACTTTTCCAGGCTGCAAAATGTAAAGAAATCTGAAGAGAGGGAACTCTGGACATCATATGTTAAAAATTTTTACCCTGCAGTAAAAATTGTGAACTCTCTTCAAGTTTGTGATTTACACTTTGAGATGCACATGATACAAGATTCTGGCTCTCGAAAAATGCTAGTAGAGGGTGCCTTCCCCAGCATTTTTGTGGCAAACAAATTTAATTCATCATACGCTGATGCGAGAAAGAGAATCTCAAGCGCACTTCCAGAAGTTGCAAGTTAAATGTTAAATATTTAAAATTGTTCAACATCAAGTTAAAATATTTAAATTATCCATACCCGATGGCCTCTTACGGTATTGAAATTATTTGGCAACATCTCAGTGAAAAAGATTTTGAAGAACTAGAAAAAGTGAAATCTCGATATTTTAAGATAGTAATGGGAGTTTCAAAATACAACAAAAACACCTATGTGTACAAATTAGTCGATGAGAAATTGTTTGTTACCGATTTGAAAGAAAAATACGATCTCCCGGAGACGGGTAATTATGTCAAGTTCCTTGAGAGCTATAATTCTGAACATGAAAATAGGTTTAATGTGAAATTCAATGACACGCCGGCAATGAGAAATGATGTATGGAAACAACCCTTGTTTGATAAAAGACATGTGTTTTGTCGCTTTGCCATGCACGGCTTTCATAATCAAATCTGTAGCAATAGTTCCGAGCGCCAACAGTGTTTCGAGGAAAGTGATTCATGCGTGTGTTTGCTATGCGGTGAGAAATGCACCCAATATCATCTGGCTGAGTGCAACCACCGAGTGCTTAGCATTAATGACTATTCTAAAAATAAGTGAAAAACTTTGGAAACCCTGTCGCGCAAACTGATAAAATAAATTGTGAATCTTAATTTTAACCTTCTAAGATGTAAGTTGAAAGTTGTACTCAATTGAGTTTTCAATAAAGACCATATATAATTATCCATGTGTTATAAAATAAATCTCTGACTCTGGTACTGGTTGAACATGACACCGGTCGAGATGGGACTCGACTTTCGATTCTCGATCAGTGTCGGCAGGTGTCAATTTGGCACATTTAAAAAATAAATTAACAAAAATTGAAAAAAAAATATTATATTACAGTACCAAAAAAATTAAAATAAGAATATATAAATTTCTAAATTAATATTTAAATTCAAATATTAATTAATAATTATTAAGGTTATCCAATGTATGTTTGATGCAATAAAAGACATTAACTTTTAAAATAAAAAATGAAAGAGTAAAAATTAAAAAATATAATACGTAAAATTATTATTTTTATTTGCATGACAAATTAAAATTATTTATAAAAAAGAAATAATGTTAAAATAAAATGTTTTTAGGAAATATTGCAATATATAATTAATGCGCTTTTAAATATGAATTCACAATCTTTCTAATTAATTAAAAATCAATTCTTTAAACCTACTGTGACATTGTAAGAAAATAGTAAAAATTTAAAAAAAATCTTTGTTGCTAAATAAATTATATTTTGCCCAAAAATGCAGGCACCTGGTTCTAAAAAGAGTCGTCGGAAGTTAATCGAGAGCTCTCCGACAGGAGAGAAGTCACCCCAGATGCCCTCTGTTCCGAATAATATGCAACTGGACGTCAGCGGCTGTGAACCTTCGCTTGATATGCTTCTCTGGGCGCCGTTAATTATTCAGCTATCTACGAGATCGTCACAAGGCAAGACATTTATGATTTGATAAAAAGCGAGCAAGAAGCAGTCGCAAAAACATTTCCTTCCTTAGTATTTGCGGAAGAAACACCTATCCGTCAACACTTTAATGACGATTGTGCCTCTTTAGAATGTAAGTTAAATGAATGGATTTCTTTTGCTGAAAAACCAGAAACACGCGCTCCATGTGAAATAAAATTGGAATTTGAAAAGCTCAAAAAAACATACACTCTGCGCTGGAGAAACTACATGAAAAACTTGGCTGTCATTCAGAATAAAGAGAAAATAATTAAGCATGACGAGGAATTCAACAAATACAAAATTGTTAATGATCAGTTGCTTAAGGAAAATGCCAGAGTAAACAGAATACTCAAAACTTTGCAAAAAAAACTTAACCGAAGTAATCACAAAGTGGTTTCTATGCAGACATTGTTAGCAAAATTATAAGAGGAAACCATTTTTAGCCCAGAAATTGAAGAGAGGCTAAAAAATCTCCTTCCTGAAACTGGCTTTGCATTTTTGCAGCGAATTGGCAAGCAGGTCAATGAAGGAGCGAACAGAAAAGAGCATTTCACTGAAAAAGAAAGAGAATTTGCTCTCACCCTGCACTTCTACTCAACTTGTGCATACGAATTTGTACGCAGTAATTTTCCTTTTGCTCTACCATGCGTGCAAACAATTAAAACTTGGTTGCGTGCAGATTCAGATTCAGATAATATTTATTCCGTATAGATCAACATATGTACAGAAATAATCTTTGGAATAGGTCACTGTAATACAGCTATATCTCAATATAACTATAATACAGCTTACTAAATTTAAAATACATTTAAAATACAGTTCACACAATTTTACACAAAAAATATTCATGCACGTCATAGAACATTTTGTCGTAGAATATTAATTCCAATTCCTTCTTAAACACTTGATAACTATCAATGCTTTTGATTCTATCGGGAAGATGATTGAAAATTCTAGGGATCATGATGTGAGAGGACTGCGCAGTCAGCAACAGTCTGTTTGGTTTGACAAATAAGTCTTGCTCCGCTATAGGTTTATTTCGAGTACTGCGATTCTGGTGCACCTTGCTTTCAGAATTTTTGAGGAACAATTCAGGATACTTTTTGTAAAATTTAACACATTCAAAGGCGTACACAGAGAAAGCTGGCAGGATCTGAAATTCTTCAAAAAGTGGTCGGCAAGACTCGACAGGTGTCAATGCCTTCCAGTATCTTTTACCTGCCATCGCACGGATAACTCTCTTTTGAGCAATGAAAACCTTTTCCAACATAGGCGACCCACCCCAAATTACAATTGAGTATAGTAAGTGACTTTGAACATGGGCGAAATATACATCTCTTAGCAATTTAGTTTGAATGCGCTGCCTTAATTTAACAAAAAGGTACGTGGTACTTCTCAGTTTCGCTACAACCTGATCGCATTGGGTGCTCCAGTTCATTGTATCAGAGAGCATTACACCAAGTATTTTTGCTTGATTTACCACTTCAATTTCAGCGTCGTTAATTCTTATTACAGGCGGTTTCAATTTACTAGTTTGAGCAGTATGCATTTGCAGCACCTGAGTTTTCTTTTCGTTCAATCTTAAGCGGTTATTACTGGCAAAATCAATCATTTTGTCATTAGCCACAGCAGTTTTTTCGTTCAAGGCTTTGTAGTTTCTAGCCTTTACAATAAAAGATGAATCATCTGCGAACAAGATAAGAGCGGCGACAATGATTTTTAAGGGCATATCATTACCGTAGGAGGAATAGCCAAAAGGGCCCAATACTGTTCCTTGTGGTACGCCAATCGAAACATTTTCCATTGTTGACTCAAATAATTTTTGCTCGCCATTTTCACCCACACCAAAAAGTTGAACAAGTTGTTTTCTATCAGTAAGAAAGGACTTTAACCAAAGGAGGGATACATCATCAATTCCAAATTTTTTCAGTTTTGCAAGCAGTATTTCGGGAACGACACACCCAAAGGCATTAGAAAAGTCATACAGAATCACATTGATTTTTTCTCTATTTTCCAACGAATCGTAGATTTCGGACACTAACTTAAAAAGTGCAGTCACTGTGCTCCTGCCTTTTCGAAAACCGTGCTGCTCGTCCGCAAGGAGATTGTTTTCAGCGAAATAGCTTTCAATTCTATTTAGGAAACATTTCTCAAATACTTTTGCTACAGAAGATGTTAAGGCTATTGGGCGATAACTGCTAGCATCGGATTTCTCACCCTTCTTTTTGTACAATGGCTTGATTACAGTTAATTTTAGCACTTCCGGGAATTTACCAGTGCGAAACGACTCATTCACCATAAATGCCACAGGGAACACTATATAACCAGAAATCTTTTTCAACGTATCCATAGATAATCCATCCCAGCTAGATGATTTCTTTGACGGGAATAACTTCAAAATTTTTTCTATTTCAAATGGGGTAACGTCAGGCTGAGCAGTAAATTTTATTCCATTTGAAACAATACTCTCAGTACAGAGTTCAATTTCATCACTACTTAGATTTACCTGAGGTTCAACAAATTTTTTATTTAAAAAGTTGCAAATTTTCTGTAAATCCTTTTCCATTTCACCATCAATTTCAATTTGCTTAATATCATTTTCGTGTTTATCTTGGTTCAAGTTGCAAGTTTCGTTTATAATTTTCCAGGCCATACCAGTCTTATTAGAGGATTTTAACATTTTCTGGTCATTGTGAGTTCGGACTGCATCATTTATGAGAAAGCCAACGTACTTTTGTTTACTTTTATATTTGAATTTAAGACTTCTTAATCTGTCACAGTTAGGATCATTCCTTTTCAGTGTAGATATTTGGGCACCCAAGAGCCTTAATTCTTCCTTTTGCTTACGAAGAAACTCAGAATCAGCATTATTTTTCCTGTTTACTCTAATTAATATTTTCTCCTTTGGGAAACTCATTTCAAAGTACATAGTAAGCTTATCCATGAATTTACAGCACATATCATCAATATCATCACTTTCATAAACTTCGGTCCAACTTTCTGTACTTAAGAGGTGGAAAAATTCAGTCCAGTTACTGTCAGAGAATCTCCTGATAATTTTGTAATAATCTCTATCGAGTTCAATTGGAATTTGAAAATTAACAGACACCATTCTATGGTCGCTAAAAAATACATCACTGACAAAAGAAGTATGCGAGCACTTTAAGGAACTAAATACATGATCAATCAAAGTTGCTGATGTGCTTGTAACCCGGGTAGCTTCGATTCCATTTACCAGTGACATTTCATAGCCATCCATTAGTTTCAGTAATTTCATTTTATCAGCATTGTCTGAGTTAAGATCAACATTCAAATCACCAACTAGTAACATTTCTTTCTCTGGACTTATAAACTTCTCAATAAGATTTTCCAAATTTTCAATGAAGAACTCAATATCTCTGTTTTCAGGATTACTCGGTCGGTACACCGTCAAAAGCGTAATAATTCGATTTGCAACCTTCAATTCAACTCCACAAGTTTCGAATCTAAATTCAATAGAAGTTGGAAATATTTTCTTGCAATTAAATTTGAGGCCTTTTTTGACTAAAATTAGCACTCCACCTCTTTCTCTTATCTTACGGCCAAAGAAAGTAACAGTTTTATAATTAGTTATGCTAAAATGTTTGACTTCCTTAGAACAGAGCCAATGCTCATTTATTACAATGATTGAGGGCTTTTCGCGCAAATTAGTTATGTAATTTTCGAAATTCGCTAATTTTTCTGCAGATTTAACGCCTTGGATATTTAAAAGAGCGATTTTCAAATTTTCAACTTTACTTTGACCATTCTTTTTTACGCGACCTTGTGGAGAGACTTGCTGATTGCGTTTTTTGAGCTCTTTCTGTAATTAATCGTTACGGACTTGGAAGGCGATGGTGCTGCAATCTTCGGAGACGGTTTGGTTGAAGCGCGCAGCGTACTGGTGCGAGTAGCAGCTACTTTCTGCAGTGAACGTTTCCTGCCCTCAGGATGTGACTCACGTAATTGTTCAGTCAACGCATCGATGCTGCGTCTCACTCCGGCCATCTGGTCATTCATGAAACTTGTCAGGTCGACTGTTTCTGGTGCCTCTGGGGCCGCAATTAAGACTGGGTGCTCGGGCGAAGAAGAAATTAGGACCTCCTTTGCAAGACTTCTCTCAGTTCCACTCACCATAACAGTGGAAGGTTGTCGGGGGGGATTTTGAGATAAAACAGGTAGGGGCAGCGGGGGTTGGCTACCCCCACCGACAGAGCCTTCCCGAAGCAATGCGCTTTCACGCTCGAGGTTAGCAAAGAATGCAGTCAGTTTACGGTCATGAGCGTCCCTCCATCCAGTCCCTCTCGTCTGTGACACAGCCCCACCAGGTAGCTTATTGGGCTCCAGACTGCAAGTGTGTACCTCATCAGGATTGGTAATCTGATTTAAATTTTTATCACCTTTATTAGCTGGCGATGAGGTGGGGCTAGGCGCACGGGAGGGCACCCCAGCTTTTTTACAGGTCTCCGGTGTGCACCTAGCTTGTCCACCTGTTCCTGCTGTGACTTTGGCAGATTCTGATGGGGCACTGCCTTGCCAGGGGAAAGCTGCGGGCCTTGCCACATGTTGATCGCTGCTGATTAAGTGGCACGGCAGCGCAGCTGAAACAAAAGAACATTTTTGTGAGTTTATTTGCTTATTATCCTCAGGGACGAATGTCGAGATTCCTGGTGACGAACAACGCTCAGTAGCCGGCTCCTCGATGCTCTGTCGAGTCTGCTGTATTTCCGATCTCATACTACTCAAAGTGACGTTTAGGCGATCGAGCAGCGTTCCCTCGTCACCGCCCAGTGTTGCATTAGACGAAGAGCCGCTCTCAAGCATATCCGAAACGGGCAGTGTCCTTTGCTTCTTTGTTGCTTTACCTACGACAAAGCTCTTCGACTTGTGCGTCCACGACCCAGCAGTTCTCCAGGTCCTGTTTGTCGGAGATGAAGGGGCGCGCTGCAACTCTTCGCTCCGAGGAAGGTAGTGCACTACCAGAGTAACGTCATCATCTGCGAAGATGTCTCTCAGCTTTTGTTTTGTGAATTTCCATGGAATGCCATCCAATCCAGCTCCCAATTTAGTTATGGCAATTTTCTGAAGTTTTTGTTCCCTCATTTTGTCACGCAAAGCAGTAAGAGCAGCCACCTCATTTCTGTAAAACCTTCCCGGGTTTTTGTGCTTCTTGTCACCTGTTCTCTCTTTGGATGCAACGTGCCAAATCGCTCGATCCCCCTCTATGCTTTGCATGACGATACTGCCGATGCGAATATTTGAGCCCGGCGCGTTGATGGCGCCAAACTTGTCAATCAAGGCCTTCGCCGCACCCTTGGTATTTTTCAGGTTAGCTCCGACTAGGTGGGCGACAACATCCTCTTCCGCTTCAGCGATGTCCATACATTTATACTCAAACTTAACCTTGCCTTGGTACTCAGGAGATCTCCTCTGCCGAATTATTCTTCTGAAGTCCCTAAGCATTGCCCTGTCTTCATCGGTCCAATCTTTTCTCTCAGCCGCAGGAGCTGTGTGTCCGAGATATGCATGGTCAGCAGATTTCGGCTGCTCACCGTTTTTCGCTACCGCGCGCAGTTGTTTGCCGTTCTCCTTGTTGTCATTCATTTTCACGATGTTTCGCTTCGTCTTTTGAGTCGCTGCATTTTTGTTGACGCTGTTTGTTTTGACTGGCACGCATCCGCTTGCACCTGCCGCTGAACTGGGTCGCGCAAATTTGCTGACGCTGTGTTCGATTGCAGCAGATAATTTTTGCACCGAAGCGTCGGACGTGTCACTCAGTTTCAAAAATTTGAGAATTTCGTTCAATAAATCTCTGACTTCACCCTGTATTGCAAGAAGCTGGGCGAGCTCGCTCTCTTGAGAAACAGCCAGTCCCTGCGAGGCAGACCTGATACAATTCTTGGCGTCCATCTTCATTGACCTTTAGAAAATCTTGATTGCTTCCAAAAATATCGGGCCGCAGAAGTCACACTATTCAGGCAGTCACGAGATAATGTCCAAATTGTGCACCAAAATTGCAGGAAAGCAGCGAAACGTTCGCTACTTTTTTCTGCCGCGTGAGCGGTGTGCCGGCACGTCCACTCGCTGCGGCTGCTCAACTCCTGATGTTGGAATAAATGACGTTGCTCTGAGCATATTAAAAATTCGTGCAGACGAATATAAAGCCAGGGGTGAGCTACTATATGTTGCTTTCAGTTTTGACGATATGAGCGTGAAAAAACAGCTAGATTTTGATAACAGCCGAGTTTGGGGTTATTTTATTTTATTTCTGTTTATTTCTTTTTAGAGATGTTACTGCTAAAATGTAATTGTTTGTTATTTAAGGTTATTTTCCATTCTTGTTTGATTGATATTGACTTGAATCAATAATCGAAAATGTTGATAAAACCCCTACCATTAATGTTTTTGTGAATTTTATAACATGCGTGTATAACGATCCTCTTTTTAAATTATAAATAAAATTTATTTTAATAAACAAAAAACTTAATAATTATAAAAACATATTATTATAAATAAAAAAATATTAATTAAAATATATAATAGCTAAAACAAATGAAAAAATTTTGTAAGCGCGACGCAGCAGAAAAGGAAGAGCCAAAGCAGTGTCGGGGGGCCAAGCCCGAATATTTGGAAAGGAAGAAAAAGCAAAGAAAGAATCATTGGAGTTTCCAAATCGAATTTTCAAATTCAAATTCAAATTCAAATTCAAAATTTTATTTATTTTGTTAAGCATTAAGTTGCGATAGCAATTAACACTTTTTAAAATAAGTCAACATACATAGCATTATTTAAACGGTAGAATTCGTTTAAGTCATAAAATTGATGTTGCAGTACAAAAGCTTTCACTTCTTTAACAAGTACCTCGTCATTTTCGAGGGTTTTCAAGTTTCTAGGCAGAGCATTAAAGATTCTTGGGATCATATAGTCAGGACTTTCTACAGATTTTTTAAGAGTAACTTCCCTCACAACTAGGTCATTTACACAAAAGTTTCTTTGATTATATCGAGTCAACCTCCTTGTATCCACACTATCACAATATTTCCGAAAGAGGTGACGATTCCGCACTAGAAATTTAATACATTCAAGTATATATAGAGAAGGCACTGTCATAATATTATATTTTATGAATAAAGGTTTACAGGAATCCAGAGCTTTATTTGATCTCCAATACGGAACGCCTGCCATAGCTCTCAAGGCTCTTTTTTGTGCTCGAAAAACATTTATTAAATGACATGAGCCACCCCAGATCACAATTCCGTACATTATATGACTTTGTACATGGGCATAATATATCAATTTAAGAATATCATCGGAAACTGTATATTTTAATCTAGTAAATACATGTGTAACACTTCGTAGTTTTTTAACAACTTTATCACATTGATCAGTCCAATTTAAAGTGTCGTTTATTTGTACTCCTAATAATCTACCAGTCTTTGAGATTTCTATTTTCTGATCATCAATAGTGACTTCAGGTTGGACTAAATTTCTAGTTTGGCTTGTATGTATTTGCAAAATTTTAGATTTTTTGGAGTTAATTCTAAGGAAATTATCTTTTGCAAAACCGACAAAGCTTTCGTTCACGGCGACAGTTTTTGAATTCACTTCAGAAGAAGAATCACCTTTAACGATTGCTGTGGAATCGTCAGCAAATAGAATAAGGAGAGCCAGGAGAACAACAAGGGCAATATCATTTAAGTACGTAGTGAAGCCAATTGGGCCAAGGACTGTGCCCTGAGGCACACCCATATTACTCTCGATTACATCTGAATTAATAAATTCTTCATATCGATCACAACCAAGATTTTTCAGTTGTACATACTGTTTCCTTTTCGTCAAAAAACATTCAAGCCACAAGAGCAGATTTATATGTAAGCCGTATAGTTTTAGTTTGTGGACAAGAAGAGGCGGGTAAAGTGTTCCAAATGCATTTGAAAAATCATACAGTATAACATTAACCTTCTCCCTGGCTTCAACAGATTCATACAGAGATGTTACATAACTATAAAGGGCTGTCACTGTACTTTTTCCTTTTCTAAAACCATGTTGATCAGGGATTAGGATATTATTTACAGTAAGGTGAGTATCAAGTCTATGTAGAAAAGCTTTTTCATACACTTTAGATATTGCTGAAGTAATAGCTATTGGTCTATAATTAGAAGGATCATCCTTTTCACCTTTTTTAAACAGTGGAATTATTTTAGCTAGTTTCATATTATCAGGAAATCTCCCTTGCAAAAATGACTCGTTTATAAGATGAGTAAGTGGGGCGGTAATATAGATTGAGATTTTTTTCAAGACATTAGTTGAGATTCCGTCCCACCCATATGAGTGTTTAGTCGGAAGCTGATTAATTATACTATAAATCTCAAAATCTTTCATCAACTGTAGGCTTTGAGCCGTAATATTATTATCCTCTATCAGTTTCGAGCAGTCATCTACATTTATATTACTTACATCTGGCTCTGATTCGACAAACTTATTATTCAGGCAATTAGCTATATTAAGTTTAATTGACTCATTAACACCATCAATATTCAACGCCTCAATAGAATCTAAATTTTTATTTTTACAAGATTGTGAGTTAATAAGTTTCCAGGCTGCACTAGATTTATTTTTTGCTTTTGATATTTTATTGTCATTTACTACTTTAGTTTCTTTTTGAATATTGTCCAAGACTTTTTTCTTAATAGATTTTAATTTGGTCTTCATATCCAAAACTTTATTTTGATCCAAGTTCGATTTTATTTCTAAACTGAGTTCGATCATATTTTTCTGTAGTTTTTTTGTTTCCTCGGATAGTTTAATTTTTCCAGTTTGGTTTGCTCTTATTGTTACACGTTTCATTGGGAAGGATTTTTCAAAGTGTTTAATTAGTATGGCCATGAATTTTTCACTTTTAGTATCAATTGAGCTAGCCTGATATACTTGACCCCAATATTCTTGTTCAAGCAAAGAATTAAATCTGAGAAAATTTTCTTCCGAATAATTTCTGACATATTTAAAACTATCTGTCAATTTTTCGACTGGCAGAGAAACAGACACGTATACGGCGCAATGATCAGAAAATAACATGGGAATAATTTCGAACGAGCTTTCGAGATTGAAATTAGCGTTAACATGGTCTAAAAGTGTACCCCCATTTACATTTTCCCTAGTTATTTTATTTACATTCAACAGGTTTAAATTGTGAAATTTAGTAATCTCTTTTAATTTAGTGCTATTATTGTCATTACCAAGAAGATCGATATTGAGATCTCCGGCTAAAATTAAGTGGCCACTAAATCTAGATTGCATAAGTACTGTGTCTAAGTGTTCTAAAAATTCAGGAACTACTGTGTTTGAACTCGGATTGCTCGGTCGATAAATACCGATTACATTAATATTTTCAGACCGGAGAGTTAATTTACTTGCACAGAACTCATAGAACATTTCCCTTGAAAATATTTTAACAGCTTTTGTTGGGCCTTTGATTAATTTATTTTTCAGAATTAGAACCCCACCCCTTTCATGTTTTTTTATGCTTCTTCCAAAGTAGGATAATAGTTCGAATCCCTCCAGATAAAAGTTTTTAACTTCAAGTGCATCCAACCAGTGTTCCGTAATAACAATTAGATCTGGACGCTCTTTTAGACTGTGAATGAAGCTAGTGAATTCAGTATACTTATTGGGTGTCTTGAGGCCTCGAACATTCAAATGTAGTATTTTTAAATTACATAAGTGTTTTTTGGAAGGGACTTGTTGTTTGTGTTTTTTGAGTTTCTTCTGTTATTTATTGATGTGGAGTTTGAGGGTGATGGTGCGGCAATCTTCGGAGATGGAGCCGATGGGGCGGGCTGCTTACTCAAGTTGCGCACGGGGCTGGCCTCCTTTCTCGGCTGCGGTCGCCTGATGTTGACCGGGACTGTCCCACGTAGCCCGACCGAGACTTTCTCGGCCAGCGCGTCGATGCTGCGCCTCATGCCGGACAGCTCACTGGCCAGGTCAACTGAACTGGGCGCATCAGGAGCCAAGGGTGGGGCGGGGTTTGACTGTTCTGAGGGCTCGAGCGGAGAGAGGGGTGAGACTTTGGGTACTTCCAAGATACCGACTATTACCTTCTCATTGGGAGTTTGCCGGGGGGGTCGGTGATCGGAATCAAGTGGGGGCAGCTGGTGCAGGCTACCCCCACCGGCAAAATTTTCCCGAAGATTCTCAGCCTCCCTTGCTCCTTCCAGGTCAGCAAAGAACTTTGCCAGACTCATGGACTCCTTCTTGCCGTCGCCTCCTCCAGAGTAGTTGGTGGCCTCCAGACTAAAATTATTTTCCTCCTCAGGGTAGGTTGACTGATTCAAATTTAATTCACCTTTGTTTGCAGGTGATGAGGTGGGGCTGGACGCACGGGAGGGCACCCCAGCTTTTTTACAGGTCTCCGGTGTGCGCCCAGCTTGTCCACCTGATCCTGCTGTAGTTTTGGCTGCTTTTGACGGGGCACGGCCACGCCCGGGGTCAGCTGCGGGCCTCGCCACCTGCTCCTGGAACGCCTGCTGTTTGGTCATGTCTATCTCCCATCGGCGAGTAGGCGAAGTTTTTTGTTTTTTTAGGTGACTCGGTGGCGCAGCTGAAACAGGAGAGACAAGAGATGAGTTATTTTGTTTTTCACCCTGGGATGGAGAATTTATAGCGCTTTGGCTTAGCCTGCTGTTTGATGAGGAGGTCTGCTGGGACTCCGGGAGCGGTGGAAAGTCATCCTGGCTGTCCAGTGCCGGTGAGCCTGGCGTCCTGTGGAAGATTTTTCTCACAAAGTCACTGGTACCCTCGAAGATGCAGACCTCGGTCTCGGAGTTTTCGAAAACTCGCTCAAGGACGTCAAGGCAAAACTCCCAAGGAAGCTTGTCAAGCCCAGCGCCGATCTTCGGGAGACCTAGCTGCTTTATTCCGAGGATCTTGCATACCTCACGCAGGGAGATGATGGCAGCCTCGAAATTTTCAGGTGTTGGACGCGTTCCTCTTGACCTCTGCTTCGTGATGATATAAAGTGCGAACCTGAAGCCGCCGTCATTCTGCTGGATGGGCAAAACTGCAACCTGGCCGACCTTTAGGCCCAAGGACAGCAAGTACTCGACGTTTCCAAAGAGCTCTCGAAAGTCGACAGCAAGCCCGGCGGACATTTCAAAATCCTCCGCGACGCAGTGGCCGATTGACATTGACGATGGCGAGTCGGTGAAGAGATTAGCACCAGGCAGCATGATGACCTTTGAAGTTAGTGGTCGGAGCGGTGTTTTGTATTTCTGCCACGCCTTCTTTTCTCGGACCAAAAAATTCCGATATTCACGTTCCATTTTCTCGATGATTTTTTGTTCAGGGGACTCCTCTCGATGTGAAAGGGCCTGAAGCTCTCTCAGGACTTCAGCCAGCGTCCAGCAGATGCGAGTGAGAGCACCCTGATCACCAAGCGGGCGCATCATGACAGGCGGCGGAATCGCATAGTAGTCGTCCGGCATCATTTTTTCGAGCAGATTTTCTCACAAAATAGGCGATGAAGAGGGCCACCTTCACTTCTGGGGTGTCTTCACACACTCAAGAAACAGAAAAGTAACCACTCAAGGGTCAACTCAACGTCCACCAACCGTCAGGGTCTCGGAAAGGGCACCAGCTCAAAATCAACAGTGTAATAATGTGTTCACTAACCGTCACTAATAAGCCAGCAGGCCAGCTCGGTTGCTCTGCGCGCGCACCCCCCTCAGTTACCGTCAGTTACCAGAGGCTTGCCAGAGGCAGAGACACTCGGGTATAGGGTATAGGGGATTTAGTATGGATGCTCTCTCTGTATTATACAACTCTGTGATTTATATAGTGGCGAAGAAAAGTTCTTTAAGACATTTTAGCCCCCTCCAAATGATTCTTTAATATAAATTTCTTCCCAAATATTGACAAGCCTGAATTCAAAATCAGCAGTTGGAATTGAATTAAAATAAGAACCTTTTCTATTTGGCAAATTTCCTTTGTTTCCAAAAATTATAATTTTTCTTTTTAATGATGCTGAAATCAACCAAATCATTGTATGTTGCGAATATGAGGAAGATTTAAAAAAAAAAAACCTCAGATAATTTTTGGTTGGCAACACTGCAAACAACAACAACACCCTGAGTCAGGGTCCTCAAAAACACCCTGAAATCACCCCTTTCCGAACCCTTTCCGTCAAGCAGATGATGTCGCCACACGGACAACAAGGGTACGCACCCCCAAAACAACAAATCTGTGGGTCGCAAGCCGGAAATCCACCCCTATCCAACACACCACCTTACCTCCATAGCAAACAGTGGGGCAACGCAAACAGCCCTGCACGAGGCCCACCACCCCTCCTAACACAACCTCCGACCCCCAAACCGCTCATGCAAACTGCGTGGCAGCCCCCCAGACCACCCCTGCATGGGCAGCAACAACTGGACCTGACCTACGAAGTCCAAATGCTGCGCGCTAGGGTCGACAGCATGGCGGACCAACGCGACCGCGACCGAGCCGAATGGCACCGAACGATTGCAGAGCTGCGGACAGATTTCCAACAAAAGATCAATCGCCTCTACACTGACTGGTACACTTGGTGGCAAGGTCAACAGTCGGGACACCAAAACCAGCTCTGGTCAACTCCCCAGCCCTCACCGGACACACCGTTCAATAATAAATACATGCTGCGCGGTGCCCAGCTCGAAGAACTCCTCCGAAACAACGGATCACTCGCAATACCTGGCGCGCTCGTCACCTTCGTCGAGCACGTCGAGGACCTGTGTGGGGCAGCCCAAGAGGTCAAAATCCACGCCGTTGCGAGCGACTGGTGGCTGAGCAAGGGCGTCGCTGCCGAGGTGGTCGCCAAGGCAGGCCGCTTCCGAGGCTACAAACCCTACTCCGGCAAGGTGGGCGACGTCATCAAGCAGCCCACCACCACCATGGGTGACGTTTGGCACCTGATCACCAAAGTAAATTCACCTGACAAGCACTACAAAAACCCGGAGCAGTTCATCAAGGACGTGGAAAAGGCCTTCCGTATGCTGGCCGAGGAGGTAAAAAAGTCAGGTTTAAAGGAAATCGCAATGAGCTACATGTGCTCAGGTTTGGACCGCCTAAACCGCCTCTGGATCATGGAGCAGCTCTACCTCGCCTTCAAGGACGTGCCGGTGACCATCCACTTTTACAACAAACACGAGTCCCAAAGGTGGAAGGGCGCCGGCAAACTGTTCGAGCCCCAACCGGACACCACCCCAGCCCCTCCTACCGCCCCGAGTACCAGAACCACAACTGAAAAACTCCCAGCTACCACCCCTGCGGCCTCGCCCAACGTCCTTCCTGTGTCCTCAGTCCCACCGAACAAGGTTCGTTCTTCCCGGTCGCGATATTCCGAACCCCACATCAATTGGGCGCATTGTGTGGAATTGGCGCTCAAATTCAAAATTCCCAGAGTTTGATCATTAAAAAATCAGTCAAGAAAGCGATAGAATTGAAAAAAAATATTTAATTGACACTGAATGAAAATAATATGTCTTTGAAAATTAATTTGAACATTTTAGAACAACAAATCTTCATATAAAGCGTTCTAGTTGGAAAGTTTACAGATATTTTATTGTTGACTCCACAATACACGTGCACTTGATCATACTGCAATTGCACCAAATATTATCAATCCTTTTGTTTACTTTTGGCCTTTTGTTCTGACGAATGAAAAGAAAAAAATTCTTATTAAATAATGGCAGTAGCAAGTCCCACTAAAAATATTTTTCCCACGTCCTTCAATACAATCTGTGTGGAGAGCTCAACAGAAAAGATTGTTTTGAGGGCTATGTTGCAAAATGAATCTGATGCCAATCAATGGAAAGAAGATTTTTGTGCTATTAGTAGATCTCAGTGGACAGTCCTTTACGAAAGGGATAATCTCGAGAGGTGAGATAACATAATTTTGCCTGGATAAATATGTAAATTATAAGTATATTTATAAATTTTATAGGTTTGTTGTTCACAAAAAATGGTATTGTCACTTCAGCAAGTTAAACAAGACTGAAAATTCTACAAGGAGCACTGACTGCAAGGCTAAGCTTGATATCAAAATTAAGCTGGTATTTATATATTTATTAATACTTTTGAATTGTTGAATCAATTGTTATATAGTTTTTTTCGTTATTATATCATTGTTGATTGTTTTTTATAAATTAATTAATTAATTTGTAACAATATTTTCCAATTTATTTAAAATAAAATAAATAAATAAATTTTATATTTTGCAGAATACTAGAAATACAAGAAACAAAGACAAATACATTAGGCCTGATAAAAATGGAATTAGTAGACCTGCAGTGATCACCATCACAGGGGTGCACAATCACCACCTTAGAAGTGCTGATACGCTTCGACTGAACCGAGTTCCCAAAAGTCTCGAAGATACTTTTATGTCATATTTTGATGATGGTAATACCCCAGCGCAAGCAAGGCGCTTGCACGAAGATCTCCTCGTGTCCGCTGACGCAATGGTTGATTTGGCTGATAATGCACACAATCCAACACGGCGGTGTGTGCATCATATGCATGAGAAGTGGAGTAAAAAAAACTTTGGAGGTCAAAGTGATTCACCTTTAATGAAAATCATTGAAAAGAACGAAAATAACTACTATTTAGAAAGAGGTACATATGATAAATTAAAATAGCAACAAAAAATTTAATCACATATTTTGTATTTTAATTAAAAAAAAAAAATTACTTAGACACCCAAGTTTATGTGACGGTGAAGGATGAAAATTGGGCTGTTTTGGTCGTGACTCCAATCATGAAAAGGGTGCAACACTTAGAATCTGCAAAAGAGAGTCTATTCGTAGATTCAACATCAAGTGTTGATGTGACCCACTGCACTTTAACCTCAATGACTGTTCCCTCAAAAGCAGGGGCTCTTCCATTGTGCCTGCTGCTTCACAATGGCCAATCAGAGGATTGCTATAAATTAGCCTTTTCCCTGGTAAAAGATCATTGCCCAAAGGCATTTGGAGGAAATACGGTAAAAAATTTAAAATTTTTTAAACTTTAAATAAGAATACAGTTTGAGAATATTGTGTAATATCAAAGAAATAATATTTAAATTAACCCAATAAAAATTTTATAAGGAGCCCCTCACTACAATGACTGATGACAGTTCTGCTGAGAGAGGAGCTCTTGCTGCTGTGTGGCCATCATCTCGCCAGCTATTGTGCACTTTCCATGTATTATCAAAGGAATGGAAATGGCTCCTATCTAATTCTACCAAGGATGTGAGGAAAAAACTGATGGGCCTATTTTACAAAGTATAATTTAATTTACTTTTCTATAATTTTAAAATTTAATTTAATAGCAACTTAAATTCAGGTCGTTTATGCTGCAAATCAAGAGGAATTTGACAAAGGAGTGGATGAGATCCAAAGTTTGAAGTCAGAAAAAAAATTCGTTGCTCGGTTTGAAAAGTACCTAAAAAGAAAAAATGAATGGGCTATTTACAAAAGGAGTGATCTTCTATTAAGAAACAACCACACCAACAACTATGCAGAGTCCAGCATCAAAATTGTTAAAGAGGCTGTACTTGATAGAATGAAGGTTGTTGATTTAGCAGTTTTAATAACAAGAATGAGATAGAAATATAATTTTATTGCAGGCATTCAATCCTGTGGCCTTGGTAGAATTTGTAATTGGGCCCATGGAGTCTTACTACAAGCGGCGGCTCCTTGACCATGCACATAATCGACACTCAGCCCACTCCATTGTCTTCCACAAGTTACTAAGCAGGATGGAAAAGATCAAACCTGAATCAATCAAACAAATTGAGGAGTTTGTTTTTTCTGTCCCAAGTGCTAACAGAAATGGTAAATATTAATAAATTATGAATTTAATTTAAAACAAGTGTTGGGGACCTAAAAAATTCCAATTGAAAAAAAATCAATGTCAAAATTTGTCTACATAAGAAACTATTTATGAATTTGGTAACAATTACATAATTAAATTTGTAATAATTTAAACATATTCAGGCACCTTTTATGAAGTCCATTCAAAGATTGGTGTGTGCTCCTGTCCAGTTGGTGAGGGTGGTGCATTCGGCAAACACCAATCTCTGCTTGTTAAATACTTCAACATCTCCATGCCCTCGGCTCCTCCACTTCTTAGTGGCGATCGACTCGAACTTGCTCGCTTGGCCCTCGGCAGCAAATGCCCTGACTTGAAATTCTTTTTAGGCCGAACAGAAGTTGATCCAACTGAAAAGGAGCCAAATTTAGATGGTTGGTTAATGTAAAAACAATAAAATATTTTAAAATATATTTTTTCTTTAACAATAGTTGCTCATTTTGTGTCGGATGCACAAGTGGAATTTGACGAAGAGCTTCACGCATGCGAAATTCATAGTGAAGAACAAGACCTTGATCCTTTTGATGAGGCTGAGAAAGAAGATTTGGTGAATGAGTGCAAAGATGCATTTGCCAGCTTGATCGAGTTGGCCAAAACTGATGCATCAAACGAATTGCTAAGAAAGTTAAGTAAGGCTTTGAACAAACCGAAGAGTGCACCTGCTGCCACAGCTTCCATTGTTGCCATCTATCGGCAGATTGGTTCTGTCTGCTCACGAAGTGGACGAATTCCCATTCAGTCAAGTGGGCGAGCAAGAAGACGAGAGGGTGTTTCGAAAGGTGCTGCTCAAGTTCCACAAGGCCGTCCACCAAAAATCAAGCAACACAATACACCAGAGGTGCAGAAATCCACAACAAACCAAGGCAAAAGAAAGGTGACTCCATCTTTAGTCAGTCAGCCTAAGAGACAAAGAAATTTAAGTCAAGCTGTTCGAGAAAATGTAGCAAACGCCAAATCACACTAGTTTAATAAATAGCTTTTGAATAAATTAAAACTGTTTTTCAAAAAACCTTTTCATTTTTGTTTATGTAGTAAAATAGTGAAAAGTATCAGCAGTAATTTTAGTTATTTAAAAAAATTATCATTTAACAACAAATTAATTAAAAAAATTAAAGATATTTAAAAAAAAAAATAATTAATAATATGAATAATTATACATACCTCAAAAAATATCATTATAGGTTTTGTGAGAAAATTCAATTATAGTGTTAAGTTGATCTAAATCGAAACAATATTTTGCACAGCGTTTCGTCCGTGTATTTGTTTACCCAGCACCCAGCTGTTGTGCGTGCTCCAGCTGTATTGTGTGGTCAACGATAAAATATCTGTAAACTTTCCAACTAGAACGCTTTATATGAAGATTTGTTGTTCTAAAATGTTCAAATTAATTTTCAAAGACACATTATTTTCATTCAGTGTCAATTAAATATTTTTTTTCAATTCTATCGCTTTCTTGACTGATTTTTTAATGATCAAACTCTGGGAATTTTGAATTTGAGCGCGAATTCCACACAATGCGCCCAATTGATGTGGGGTTCGGAATATCGCTTCCCGGTCACCAACATTGAGCCCAGTCTCCGGCTCTTCAAACCCCTCCACGGAGGAGGATGAGGAGGACGAAAGTGAACCCCGTCTGCTCGACATCGAGCAGGAGGTCGATGGGAAATCCTCCCCGCCACCGAAAGTGACAAAAGACACCCCTAAAGCGACTAAAGGACAATCGAAGAAAAAGACTGCGGGTAAGAAGAAAAACCGCGCCTGAGTAGTTAACCCCGGTCAAATCGATATTACAAATGAGAAAATTTCAGAACTTTCTTTACTACTCTGGAACGCAGAGGGACTAAAAAACGCCTATGATATCTTAAGTAATGATTATTTTAAAAATTATGATATTCTTGTTTTTACCGAAACTTTTTTGCTTAAAAATTTCTCGATCCCGGGGGCGATATTCCGAACCCCACATCAATTGGGCGCATTGTGTGGAATTCGCGCTCAAATTCAAAATTCCCAGAGTTTGATCATTAAAAAATCAGTCAAGAAAGCGATAGAATTGAAAAAAAATATTTAATTGACACTGAATGAAAATAATGTGTCTTTGAAAATTAATTTGAACATTTTAGAACAACAAATCTTCATATAAAGCGTTCTAGTTGGAAAGTTTACAGATATTTTATCGTTGACCACACAATACAGCTGGAGCACGCACAACAGCTGGGTGCTGGGTAAACAAATACACGGACGAAACGCTGTGCAAAATATTGTTTCGATTTAGATCAACTTAACACTATAATTGAATTTTCTCACAAAACCTATAATGATATTTTTTGAGGTATGTATAATTATTCATATTATTAATTATTTTTTTTTTTAAATATCTTTAATTTTTTTAATTAATTTGTTGTTAAATGATAATTTTTTTAAATAACTAAAATTACTGCTGATACTTTTCACTATTTTACTACATAAACAAAAATGAAAAGGTTTTTTGAAAAACAGTTTTAATTTATTCAAAAGCTATTTATTAAACTAGTGTGATTTGGCGTTTGCTACATTTTCTCGAACAGCTTGACTTAAATTTCTTTGTCTCTTAGGCTGACTGACTAAAGATGGAGTCACCTTTCTTTTGCCTTGGTTTGTTGTGGATTTCTGCACCTCTGGTGTATTGTGTTGCTTGATTTTTGGTGGACGGCCTTGTGGAACTTGAGCAGCACCTTTCGAAACACCCTCTCGTCTTCTTGCTCGCCCACTTGACTGAATGGGAATTCGTCCACTTCGTGAGCAGACAGAACCAATCTGCCGATAGATGGCAACAATGGAAGCTGTGGCAGCAGGTGCACTCTTCGGTTTGTTCAAAGCCTTACTTAACTTTCTTAGCAATTCGTTTGATGCATCAGTTTTGGCCAACTCGATCAAGCTGGCAAATGCATCTTTGCACTCATTCACCAAATCTTCTTTCTCAGCCTCATCAAAAGGATCAAGGTCTTGTTCTTCACTATGAATTTCGCATGCGTGAAGCTCTTCGTCAAATTCCACTTGTGCATCCGACACAAAATGAGCAACTATTGTTAAAGAAAAAATATATTTTAAAATATTTTATTGTTTTTACATTAACCAACCATCTAAATTTGGCTCCTTTTCAGTTGGATCAACTTCTGTTCGGCCTAAAAAGAATTTCAAGTCAGGGCATTTGCTGCCGAGGGCCAAGCGAGCAAGTTCGAGTCGATCGCCACTAAGAAGTGGAGGAGCCGAGGGCATGGAGATGTTGAAGTATTTAACAAGCAGAGATTGGTGTTTGCCGAATGCACCACCCTCACCAACTGGACAGGAGCACACACCAATCTTTGAATGGACTTCATAAAAGGTGCCTGAATATGTTTAAATTATTACAAATTTAATTATGTAATTGTTACCAAATTCATAAATAGTTTCTTATGTAGACAAATTTTGACATTGATTTTTTTTCAATTGGAATTTTTTAGGTCCCCAACACTTGTTTTAAATTAAATTCATAATTTATTAATATTTACCATTTCTGTTAGCACTTGGGACAGAAAAAACAAACTCCTCAATTTGTTTGATTGATTCAGGTTTGATCTTTTCCATCCTGCTTAGTAACTTGTGGAAGACAATGGAGTGGGCTGAGTGTCGATTATGTGCATGGTCAAGGAGCCGCCGCTTGTAGTAAGACTCCATGGGCCCAATTACAAATTCTACCAAGGCCACAGGATTGAATGCCTGCAATAAAATTATATTTCTATCTCATTCTTGTTATTAAAACTGCTAAATCAACAACCTTCATTCTATCAAGTACAGCCTCTTTAACAATTTTGATGCTGGACTCTGCATAGTTGTTGGTGTGGTTGTTTCTTAATAGAAGATCACTCCTTTTGTAAATAGCCCATTCATTTTTTCTTTTTAGGTACTTTTCAAACCGAGCAACGAATTTTTTTTCTGACTTCAAACTTTGGATCTCATCCACTCCTTTGTCAAATTCCTCTTGATTTGCAGCATAAACGACCTGAATTTAAGTTGCTATTAAATTAAATTTTAAAATTATAGAAAAGTAAATTAAATTATACTTTGTAAAATAGGCCCATCAGTTTTTTCCTCACATCCTTGGTAGAATTAGATAGGAGCCATTTCCATTCCTTTGATAATACATGGAAAGTGCACAATAGCTGGCGAGATGATGGCCACACAGCAGCAAGAGCTCCTCTCTCAGCAGAACTGTCATCAGTCATTGTAGTGAGGGGCTCCTTATAAAATTTTTATTGGGTTAATTTAAATATTATTTCTTTGATATTACACAATATTCTCAAACTGTATTCTTATTTAAAGTTTAAAAAATTTTAAATTTTTTACCGTATTTCCTCCAAATGCCTTTGGGCAATGATCTTTTACCAGGGAAAAGGCTAATTTATAGCAATCCTCTGATTGGCCATTGTGAAGCAGCAGGCACAATGGAAGAGCCCCTGCTTTTGAGGGAACAGTCATTGAGGTTAAAGTGCAGTGGGTCACATCAACACTTGATGTTGAATCTACGAATAGACTCTCTTTTGCAGATTCTAAGTGTTGCACCCTTTTCATGATTGGAGTCACGACCAAAACAGCCCAATTTTCATCCTTCACCGTCACATAAACTTGGGTGTCTAAGTAATTTTTTTTTTTTAATTAAAATACAAAATATGTGATTAAATTTTTTGTTGCTATTTTAATTTATCATATGTACCTCTTTCTAAATAGTAGTTATTTTCGTTCTTTTCAATGATTTTCATTAAAGGTGAATCACTTTGACCTCCAAAGTTTTTTTTACTCCACTTCTCATGCATATGATGCACACACCGCCGTGTTGGATTGTGTGCATTATCAGCCAAATCAACCATTGCGTCAGCGGACACGAGGAGATCTTCGTGCAAGCGCCTTGCTTGCGCTGGGGTATTACCATCATCAAAATATGACATAAAAGTATCTTCGAGACTTTTGGGAACTCGGTTCAGTCGAAGCGTATCAGCACTTCTAAGGTGGTGATTGTGCACCCCTGTGATGGTGATCACTGCAGGTCTACTAATTCCATTTTTATCAGGCCTAATGTATTTGTCTTTGTTTCTTGTATTTCTAGTATTCTGCAAAATATAAAATTTATTTATTTATTTTATTTTAAATAAATTGGAAAATATTTATTGTTACAAATTAATTAATTAATTTATAAAAAACAATCAACAATGATATAATAACGAAAAAAACTATATAACAATTGATTCAACAATTCAAAAGTATTAATAAATATATAAATACCAGCTTAATTTTGATATCAAGCTTAGCCTTGCAGTCAGTGCTCCTTGTAGAATTTTCAGTCTTGTTTAACTTGCTGAAGTGACAATACCATTTTTTGTGAACAACAAACCTATAAAATTTATAAATATACTTATAATTTACATATTTATCCAGGCAAAATTATGTTATCTCACCTCTCGAGATTATCCCTTTCGTAAAGGACTGTCCACTGAGATCTACTAATAGCACAAAAATCTTCTTTCCATTGATTGGCATCAGATTCATTTTGCAACATAGCCCTCAAAACAATCTTTTCTGTTGAGCTCTCCACACAGATTGTATTGAAGGACGTGGGAAAAATATTTTTAGTGGGACTTGCTACTGCCATTATTTAATAAGAATTTTTTTCTTTTCATTCGTCAGAACAAAAGGCCAAAAGTAAACAAAAGGATTGATAATATTTGGTGCAATTGCAGTATGATCAAGTGCACGTGTATTGTGGAGTCAACAATAAAATATCTGTAAACTTTCCAACTAGAACGCTTTATATGAAGATTTGTTGTTCTAAAATGTTCAAATTAATTTTCAAAGACATATTATTTTCATTCAGTGTCAATTAAATATTTTTTTTCAATTCTATCGCTTTCTTGACTGATTTTTTAATGATCAAACTCTGGGAATTTTGAATTTGAGCGCCAATTCCACACAATGCGCCCAATTGATGTGGGGTTCGGAATATCGCCTCCGGGGTGGTTCATCCCTGGACTTCCTGATTGGTCCATAATGAGCTAAAAATGACCAGTGGAAGCGGAGTTCTACTTGCCATCGTCGCTGCTGCCTTGCTGCGCCTGCCGAGTGCACATCCAGATGACTTGCGGCCACCAACTAGCCCTTTCACCGCCCGCTTCACTACACTCAACGTCATCGAGCAGAGCAGCGTGTCCTGCTGGACGGCCATCGGCAACTGTCAAGTAGGTGGCCGAGACATAAATCGGACAATTTTGTTTGTAAAACTTTGCACGCCGCTGACGTCACGCAGAAAACCTGTCAGAAATGCGTTCTGGCATGTTTTGATGTGCATAGCTTTGAGCGGTAATGTGGCCTTGAACCCCGGCCCACCTAGTGCAGCTGCAGTTTGCATTCTTTGCGATAGGCACGGCCGAAGCAATCAAATAAAAATCACATGCGACAATTGCCACTCCATCTATCACTCGGCCTGCTTACGATTTACGCCAAAAGAAAGAACGAAATTCAAGGCGGGAGGCTATATTTGCTGGAGCTGCTCATTGCCCAATTTTTCTGACTCGCTGCTTGACCTCCGCCCTGATGAACCTGAGGAAGTTTGCCCGCAAAATAGCGCGACGAGAAACAGATTTCGCTCCCAGTCGCGGCTCTTTGCGTTTAATGCGAGATCGCTGAATAATAGAAAGCGGCGCGCAGACACTTTGGCAGCTATTGAGAATTCTGAAGCGGATATTATTTGCGTGACAGAGACGTGGCTCTCGGCTGACCATGGGGACAATGAGATAATACCATCTGATTTTATTGTCTTCCGTAAAGACCGCACCAACTGCAAACGAGCCTCTGGAGGTACCCTGATTGCCGCCCGCCACCACCTGAATCCGTGCCGCCATAAACACCTCGAGGTCGGTGCTGAAATAGTCTGGATTTAAGTCAAGATGGGCGAATTGAAAATTCTGCTCGGCTCTGCCTACAGAAAACCAGATGGTTCTGCCGCGTATAATGACCGCCTAATTGCCTCCCTTGACAAGGTTGCCGAGGTAAAGCATCTTTTTGACGCGTGCATCCTGACAGGGGACTTTAACCTAGAAGTTGACTGGCAAGAAGATCCACCTCGCGCCGGCAATGCACCGGCAACTGATTTTCTCGGCGCCTTTTCCGAGCTCGCTCTCACTCAGCTGATAAAAACGGCAACCCGCACGACAGCCACGACTTCCAAAATCCTTGATTTGGCGCTTTGCGACACTCCAGCGCTAATTTCAAGTGCCATTGTTGTGCCCGGCACTTCAGATCACGATGCTCTTCAGCTTGAATTTTTGGTGCAGCAAAAAGTCCCCTCCAGAGTGCGTGAAATTTTTGATTTCAAGAATGTTGATTGGCCTGCCTTAAGTCAGCGTTTTTGCGACACATTTGAAAATATTTCATTTGTGGGTGCCCCAATTGAGCGATGCTGGGAAATTTGGCTGCAAAAATACTGGCAAATACTTGCAGAAATTGTGCCAAAAAAGCGTCTTCGTCCTCGCAAGCAAACCTGCGCGCCCTGGATGACTAAAGAACTTCACTCGCAAATCGGTAAAAGGGATAAAATTTTCGCTCGCTGGCAAAAGAACAAAACGCGAGTTGCACGAGAAGAATTTCTGGTGGCTAGAAAGCAGGTGCAAAAGGCCCTCGGCAACTCGCGTGACAAGTGGATGTGGGACTTGGGCCGCGGCCCCGGTGGCAGTAAATTTTTCTGGGACTTTGTCAAATCAAAAACCAAGATTTCACCATCAGCCGGCGTTTTTGAAGCAACGGGAAAAATATCTCCGAGCCTGAGCAAGTGGCCGCCGCCTTCAGTGAAGTGTTTGCGCGAAATTTTAACTCTGCCACAAATCACTTTCTCTTCATGCGCCGGCGACCCCTTGCCCCCCAGCCCCCCTCTCTTTGTGACATGTCGGTGAACAGTGTTAGTGTGTGCATAAAACTCAAGCAGGTGAAGGGCAACGCCACCCCTGGCCCTGACGGTGTGCAGGGTGTCGTGCTCTCCAAGTGTGCGGCCGCTCTCGCGCCGAGCCTCGCGCGCCTTTTCAACAGCTCGTTGCAGCAAGGAGAGCTACCAGCAGGCTGGAAAAAAGCCGCCGTCGCACCCATACCAAAGAGTGGAAATAAAGCGCTGCTAGAGAATTATAGGCCAATTAGTATGACTTCCCTAGTTGGAAAAGCCCTGGAAAAACTCGTTCGGGACAGAGTCGAGCAGTACTTTGCGGAGAATAAATTAATTCCCGATTGCC